ATGTATTGCCAACTACCTCGGCGCCGCTCAACTAATGTGAATTACGTATGTGAGGTCTGGTCAAGGTACGCTATAGCCAGCTAAGGCTTCGTCACTTGGAACGCTTTTATTAGTAATAATCAATTTTCAAGATATGAATACTCCTATTTAAATCAGTGCATCCTTTGAGAATATCAGATTTCTCATCCAAATAAATAGATAATATCGGCATATGATGACTAAAATCTTGACAAATTTGTTTATTAAGCTAACAGAATGACACTTTCAAGATTAAGTCGAGTACCTGGTTCAGAACAAATTTTTCTGATAATATTAATTTTCTCAGGTCAAATTAGTCCTTGAACTCAAGGACGTTCAGTTCCCTAATGGTTACTTCCCTAATATTCAACTACTATTGAGAGAAACATGTACCTACTGTGTGAGGATAACAACAAATAAAACGTTTGTGTTCTTAACCTACATAAATTTATATTTTAGGACTGATTTAAAAATCTAATGACGTTATGTAAGCAGGCTCAATGAAGATGTAGAGCATTTATTCCTCATGACAAAGGTAAAAGACGTATTTCTGGGAGGTTCATAAATACTCACTTTTATACCATGACATTATTTTTAATTTTACTTTTCAGGTAAGACTAGTAAAGCACACTTCATTACTATTATTTGATCTTTTTTCTTGTTTCCAACCAGTCATATGTTTATTCTGTCTAGGAAGGCATTTGGGATTTGAAATTGTTTTTTTTATGCCGATCGTGAAAAACAAATATATTCGTTGCTTGCATAACCTTTGCTTCTGTCATTATCAACTCTCACCAATAAATTTTCATTTCTAAAATTAAGTATTTCTGTAAATTTTCTGAAATCCATTTTTAATCTTAAGAAGACTTGAAATTGAAATGTATTTAGGATAACATCTTATTTCGAAATCTTATGCATATCTGATGAACATCTTGTTTTAGAATTTTATGAAATTCTAAACGTTAGAACTTTAACTTAAATCGTATAGCTAAAATAATATTATTCAAACATAAACCAATCATCCATTACTTTCAAGCACCCGGGTTTAGAACACATTATTTCTGTTCTCAACCTGCTCAGCTGCTTTGTTTATAAATAGCAATAATCCCTTAAGAGTTAGGTACTCTTTCTATTAACTTTTACTGGTTGCCCTATTACTTTGCAAAAGTCTGTTGTTTATTAATTATTTGTAATTGTGTCCCACATTCCTGTCCATTGTAACTGGAAAATTTCCTTTAGAGAAATGATCCAGATACTGTATGAATTATGGATTATTTTTAGGAAGTCAGTGTGTTTGCAAGATTCAAGATAAATAACATAATGCAGACAGTTGTTAATTAGATTTATTGGTTCTTGGTTATCTAATGAGATGGTTATGTACTCTTTGCAATCCTAACTGCTAAATTTGTGTATAAACTTACTTTCTCTCGTTGGACTTCACAAGTGGTTAGTGTCATTTTAAATGTGACATATCTGGATTGATTTAGTAAATATCTTTGTAGACGACCACACCATGTTGAACTCTAAAGCACTGATATTTTCCACAAATACTGTCAATCTACTAACAACATTAAAAAGTAGTTAACTTCGACACACGAAACATTGCTACCACATAAATTTGACATGTTCAACTAGGCATTTTGTATAACAGAGTTGACTGTTTCCTGTACAAGTAATGTTGATTCTTCTCACCTAATAACCTCCACCATGTAATGAACTGGATGGGGCTTCTCGAAAGTTTTTACTGATCAGCAAATGATGGTAGACGGACTCCAAAAAATACCACATGTAAAAACGGTTCTTCAATCTTATGGGCACTAATGTATAAGAGATTGTGTTATAGGCACCATGAACGATTATTTTTGCTTGTTTGAATGCTCGGATTTGCACAGTTAGTTATCTGAGATGGTAGAGATCGGCTGAACATTGCTTAGTTTTAATTCGCTATAATAGAAGCAACTGAAAGTTAGCTGTATAAAAAACAATGGAATGAATAATTATATACTTTAGAAACATCAGTCAAGAATATCAGTTTATTGTTTCATATTAAGACCAACAATATTACCTGGTTGTATAGATACAGGTAGATTATGTGAGACTAATGATGTAAGAAAGAAGCTTACAAACGCCATGAGTCATAGTTTTATTTAAAGAATCTGATGGAAAACATACTTTTTGCAGACATTTTCTCTGCTAATTTGTGCCACGTGTGATCAGTTAATTGTATTATTGTTTTAATCAGGAACTTCATAAAATTGTCGGTTGGCTTACGTGTTTTTGGAATAGTCAATATCTGTTGACATTAATAATCTCAACTCTACTTTAATTTCATTGGTTTATGCTTATACTAATGTTACAAGCGACTCAAAAGTGTGAAGAGATTTAGTGACGTAAACTGCGGTTCTCCCGACCATGTTATCTGAAATAGTAAGCCGAATGGTGGTTCTATTGAAGTTTGATACAAACCCAAAACAGTAATGATGTCAATGATGACAGTAGTGGTGTAGTGCGGATATAAATAGTATATAGCAGCAATCGGAGGTGGAGCGTCTATTAACAGAAGATCGAATTGAAGGGAATAGAAAGGGAAACAGAAAGTAATAGTAATGACAACAGAATTGGAAAGATCATAAAGCATGTAAGAGACAACGGAAGGAAGATGTACAAATAATGTATTTAATGTGTGGTTTTCATATGTTAGTAAGGCACTCTGTAATTTTGCTTTACAAAAAAATTCGCCTTCCCCATCTGAATTCTTATACACTGCAATGGCTTTAACGAAAGATATTCAGCGGAACATCGTTTGGACCAAATAGTTATTCCTACATATCCCGTCAACTACTTGTGGACGAATCCTAATGTCATTTTTTCCCAAATTTTATGCTAGATTTATTCGCCAGAAAATCGATGAAGCTACACAATCATATAGTGTCGAAAACAATTTTCCTGTGTACGAACTGTCTAAATAACAGTAAAAATATTTATTCTAATCACAGAAGAGGTACCAATTTTTCGTTTAATGGAAGTGAAGTAAACTTTTTTATTACCGTGAATTGATTTAAGCTTAACAAATCTTACACTTATATCCTCTAAAGCTCCTAATTATTTGAATTTTCAAACTGATTTGATGAATTTTTATCCCTTTAGTATACGAACATTTCGATTTACGCTGATTTCATCCTTAAAGTATATCATCTAATAAATTACGTTATCTAATATTTGGTATAATAATATTTCTCTCGTCCTACTTATTCTATATTCATTCTGAATATTATTCTTTTAATTTCATTCAATCTATAAGCTCATCAACCTATACATTGAATGTGCATCGTTTAAGTATCTATAAACAGTGCTATGATTCTTCTTCTTACAATCATAGATTCATATTCTTTACCATAAAAAAAATTAATTTGTCTCCGGCTTTTTTATTCCTTATGGTTCGTAACTATAAAATATGATACAAATATCCTCTATTCATACAGTTGAATATTTTAATGAAATAACAGTAGTTTTCAACTAATATTATAACAGTGATTTTCGGTGTTCTTTTATTGAAGATATTACGTAAGGGGAAATCTGAGTTTCCAACACATTTGTATTGATACAATCAGTAAAGTGTTCATACATACATAACTGTTGAAAGTTTAATGAATATGTTGTATTTAGTGACAAACTGGGAACCGCTATTTCTATGAAGTTTAATATATTAACTAATCCAAGTGGAATATTAAAAAAACTCTAGCGAAAATTTTTTTCCAGTTAGTTCATCATGACTGCACTAAAACATAGGGCTTACAAGTGAATAGAATGTTTTTTAAACGGAAATAATCTTTCATAGTTTGCTTATTTATTGTTATGTGCATTTTATTGCTTAATAGTAAATATTTTGTCAGAAGAGACAATACCAAACGAAATAAAGTTGAAATCACAAACTGATTTTAGATAGACCATCACTGAAAAGCGTCGTAGCAATGGACAAACTTTTCATTCTGGAATGGGACTCCTCAACAGTGCTCATCTATGAACATGTGTGAGGAAATTAAACTTCAATCAATCTTTAGTCTTATGCAATCCTATGTGTCAACTTCGTTGGATACTGGCTCAACGGTCTAGAGATTAAACATTTGCTTGAGACCGAACGTCCTGGGTTCGATCCTTACGTACAGAATCGCGCATGATCACTTCTGAGTAGTATCATCGTAGAACGAAACGGTCATCCAGTACTTCCAGATTTTCAGTGGTGATCAGTCCGTGATTTCAAGCGTGAAAATACTAAAATTACGAATCCCCCATACTAATATCAAACAAATTAGTTTGTATATTCATCATGGGATTAATCTGGACATACTGATCTACTACTGTTTTACTAATCGTCTACGATGGACATTTTCAGAAAATTCAAAATGTTCCCTGTTTTTCTTTTGTAGAAACTTTTCCCCTATGAATTTAGGCATTCACTCCTCAAATATTTTCTTTCGCAAATTTATATAAGCTAGTGTAGCAAATTTGTCGAAAAGTATATAAAGAGAATAATATAACAGATTGTTATGAGCATTAAAATAGAAAGTACACTACTCTTGACCAATAGTTCCTAACTAAATACTTTATAATACTCTAAAGAGTTTCATCACAATTGTAACTATATTTTAGCGTTGATAATAATGTTTTACACATTGATATATCCTTGATCAATGAACAGTGAATGTATTCACATCATTCAACTATTAGTTTGAACATTTAAAACAACACTTTTGTATAATTTGACTTTTTACAATAAAGATATATATTTATATATATAAACGCATTTCTGTGGTATTGCCATCAATCGGAAAAAAACCCTACTAATTCATATATAATTACAGAGATTAATTGTTGAAATAATTAACATGAGGTATTTTTTTGTTGTAAAACGTTTCTAGATCAGAAAAGAAACAAAAAGGATAATCATAGATATTATGCAAATATTAATTAATAATCTGTAGTAGTAGTAGTAGTAGTAGTAGTAGTAGTAGTAGTAGTAGTAGTAGTAGTAGTAGTAGTAGTAGTAGTAGTAGTAGTAGTAGTATCATTGTTAATGTTGTTGTTAATGTGTGATTTGTTGCTAAAAGAAACTTTCCTGATAAATGGTTTTACTGCAACAACTTTAACTATTTGGTATTATTTGAAAAAGAATGAATCTTTTTCTCGAAATAATAGACACAGCAGGGTAAAGTAAAATTTGATAGAACAATGAAATAGAAATCAGTATAAAGAAAAACAATGGGTAGAATGGGGGAAAAAAGTGGATTATGGGTTTCTCAACCCATTTTTACTAATCAATTTAAGGTAATTTATGTTCATTTTCCTATGCATCATCAAAATAACGAAGAGGAAGTAAAATTAAGAAAGGAGAATTAACAGTCATTATATGACAACGTTTGAAAGGATTATGAAATGTAAATCGATGTGTGAAGAAATATACAATACAATAATTATGGCTATACAATTTAATTAAGTAGTATCCATTGTACACCAGCGTAATAACTTTTTCAAATGAACCGCTGAGAAAAGATGATCTACAAATGATGCATGTGATGTAAAATTTGTTGACTGATTACAAGCATTTGTTGCTTGTTGATTAGTTAGCATGGAATTATTTGTTATTTCTGATTTCTGAATAGATATTGAACATATTTGACAATAATTTGAATCTATACAAGAAAAAGAATCTATTGGTGATGATTTTTCAGTTAATAAAGATGAATTTACTGAAAAATTATATTGTCCTGATGAAACACGTGCCATTTTCTTTTCTTTTGCACGTTGATTTTGAAACCATACTTGAACAACACGTCGTGACAAACCAATCATTTCACCTAATCGATCACATTCATGTACTGATGGAGTTTTATGATAATTATATATCGAATGCATACATCTAGATTGAAGTGCTGTAATACTAGTTCTATTTCTACGTCCACCATTTGTACTAGAGGTTGTACTTGTTGAACGATAAACGCCAGAAACATGTTCTGTTTGAATTAAAGATGGGACAGAAAGAAATTGATCTTGATTATTAACTGTAAAGTCATTATTATCTTCATTATCCATTATCTGTGCATTTTGTTCAAGAATAAAAGATGAACTATTTTGACAGTTATTATCACCAGTAGAATTTACGATAACTGACGGAGTTGTTTTAGCGCTTAAATCCAATGGAGCTTCATTTGAATCTGGTGAGGTCTGAAAATGTGGCATAGTTCTGTTTAATGATGCATTCATAAGTGCTGTTAGTTGACAATGTAGTTTGTTTGGATCTGTATACACTTCAGTACCATTTGAAAATCCACGAATAGAAGATGATAACGATGTTGATGAGAAGTAAGGAAACTCCCACAGATTTATTGATTTTTGTTCACTTTCGGATTTTGATTGTTGTTGAATACGATTATGATGACCAAGATGAATAAGTGCAGCAAGAACACTTTGAGGATTATCTAACTCTGGTATCATGGGTAATCTTGGTGATAATGGAGTTTCAGAAATAGATGGAGAACTTCCCGATGTAATTGATGGCGGTGATTCATGCGAATTATTTGAATTATCAGCTAATACAAATGAATGAACATCACCATCGGTATTTTCAGTTGATGGAGTTGTCGTTGTGGTTGTTGTCATTGTTGAATGTAAGTTTCTTTTGTAATTATAGATAACATCTGAATCTTCAATCGATACAATTGATGTAGGTCTCTAGAAAAAGTAGGCAAATGAAAAGTTGTAATGTTACGTCTTTTAACAGCTGAACATAAAATCGGATTCCGTATAGAATTCTTTTAAACAAACTACTGTGTACATTTAATAGATTAAATTCAGTTTTAGACAAAAAAGCACTTATTTGAGAGGAAACTATACTCAGTACCCATAACCATGAATAATGTAAGATGATAGATAATTATCCTATTTTAAATTTGTTACATTTTTGATACTGGGAAAAATCGGTTACAGTCGTACATTTGCATTCGTTATTTATATTTCACTAGATTTCGAGCTTGTAGTGTCGGGTACTGTGTAAAACCCACATAATTTATTCTAGCTTCTGGACAGGCCAATTTCTCCATTCTTCTTAAGTCACGTTTTGACCTTGTTAATTATTCACTTACCAACCTTGACTATTTTTATATGAGCGTATGTGTGTACACTTTTTATCATACTCATCACATGTCTGTAGCTTATCCTTGTGTGACCATAAATATTGATTAATGCTCGGTTAAATCGAGTTGGCTCACCCACCATCTCCACCTCCTGTCATTTCGCTTCGCTCTCTTTTCTTCATTCCCCAGATCAATGACTGCACAAAATATACATAGTCAAAACTTCATTCTCGTATTTGACTTATTTAATTCCGTTATACACTAAAGCGGATTAAATCCGATAATTTTATACGATGATTGACGATATGTATATTTCAATAACATTCATATGATCTAACTGGAGTCAGATCTCGAGTCACTAAAAGCTTAATTTCATTTTTGCGTTATTATTTCTTTATCATATTCATTTTTCTAAAAACTATATTTTCCATTTTAAGCATTTTACTGTCATTAATATTATTGTTTTGATTGATTTAATTTCAATCTTGTGAATTCTCTCCTCCGATATATAATAATGTGAAATGACATACATAACTTGTAATGATGGATAAATTCTAGGTTGATTATGACTGATTTGAATTAGTCTTTTAGTATGCATCATCAGTGCATATTCTATTGTTCAATAATAAGTGTATGTTTTAATTAAAAACAATTTACTTATTTATTTGAACATATAGATATTGGTACAAGGAGGCATCAGATAGATGTGCGCCACACAAATCAAATGAGATTTGTGTGAGGGCTGGAATACTGCCCGGGTGCCCGGAGCCTTCGACCTACAGGTCTGATCCACAAGGCAGTGGAGCATCGTAAGGAGATGCAGTCTCATGTAGCCGGTGACCAACGGTTGGTTCATACGCCGTATGATCCTTCAGGATCCTGGTGCCATGTGCACCATTGGTTTGCAATCAGGGTTTTCCAACTCCCATAGGTGGAAACTAAAAATGTCTCTGGGTTGTTGCATTGTTTGATGGTATTGTTTCTTGCAGGAAATAGTAATAAAGGTGCAATAGGTGCTTACCCCCTGATCCTTTTACTTAAACTAAGGAAAAATTGTTTGTTATTTAAAAAAGGTTTTTACTTTCAATAGTTCGCAATGCTGAGGTGTCATAATTAGAAGATTATCAAATAAACCAACTAGCTATATATATAGAACATTAACAATGAGACGTACTTCATCGTTCATACTACCATCTTGAATATCTTTCTGTAGTCGTTGACGTTTATTTTGATTGATCCATTTCATTTGATCAATATTTTTCAATGATTCCATTTCACAAGATCTTTTAATTGTTGAAGTTAAAGATTTTGTTGGAGAATTCAATGATTCAATAATGTTTATATTTTCATTTTCAATATCATTATTAATATTAGATGAATTAGTTAAATCTTGTGAAGTCGTTTCAAATTGTAAATTATTATTATTTTGTTTATCAATTTGTTCAATGTTTAAATGATATAATTTATGATGTTGTTTCATTGAATGTGTTGAATGTACTTCAATTCGACCAGTTTTTTCATATTCTTCTATATTTAAACTAGTACTTGGTGGTATTGAAAAATTATATGGATTATCTTTATTTTTTTGTCTTTCTTTAAATAATGTATTACGAAACCAATGTTTAACAACTTTCTCTTGTAAACCAGTTTTATTACAAATTTCATAAATTTTTTCATCTGATGGTGAATTATTAATATCAAAATATGAACGTAATATATTTAATTGTGATTCACTTAAACGTGTACGACTTCGTTTTTGTAATGATGATAATGATAATGATGATGATGATGTGATTTGTTGTTCATATGGTTCAATGAATTTAGTTCTTTCATGTTGAGTAGTTGAATATAATTTAGGTAAAAGATTTGTAGAATTATTAATACTGTAATCTTTTATAGAACTGAAATAAGATTCAGTGAATGTTTTATTCATTTTATTATCTTTATCAATTTGATTATTATCATTATTCTCATTAGGATCATTTTTATTAGTTAAAGTATAGTTTAATAATAAGTTAGAATTATTTGAACAAATATTGTTTGTTATCGTTTCAAATGGACTATTTACTGTTGAATCTTTTATATCTTTATTAAGTAAATTGGATTGATCAGAAGTAATCACTGATAATGATAATGGAGTATTGGAATCACATATATTACTTATATCATTTTTAGTAGTATTGTTGTCAGTGACAAGATTTTTTGCTGAGAAATTTTGTTCTACTATTAATGATGCAGAAGTATTAGTATCATTGAATTCAATTTCATTTGTTTGTAATACAGATTTTGGCATATTTTGAAAACTATCTGATTGTATATGTTTTAAATGCATCGATAATAGATTTGGAGAACTCGATTTAACAGATGGTTGTAATTTACAATGATTTTCTAAGCTTGAATGAAATAAATCTGAGAATGCAGAATTAGAAATAAGCAAATTTAACTTTTCAACTAATTCATTTACAGATGAATTAGATAAAATAATAGTTAAAGGATTATCATTATTATTATTATTAGAAATCTGTTTAGAATGTTGTAGTTTTATGTGTAATTCTGAACTGGATTCTAATAGAAAACGATGCGATTTATTTTGATATTTTCTGTTTCTTTCATCATCATTACTCTTTTCGTTGCTAACGTTATCATCATCGTCATCATTATTATTATCATAGTTATCATTACAACAATATGTGCACAACTTGCCTTTTTTCATTTGTAATTCACGTATATACTCTAATTTAAACCAATGATTATTTAATTTTTCATAAATATTACCATAATATACTTTATCATTTACAATTACCTCTAAAGTAAACGCTAACAACTCCTCTGAACAATATTTATCATTTTGTATATTTGAAAAACTGTCACAACTTATTAATTCAAATGATTGTTTTAATAAACTATGTAAATTAGGCAACATATTAAACTCATGGAAAAAATCATTGGTTGACATTCGGTTGTGATTAGTTGGTAAATCAATATCATCGATTTGTTTTGGCGGTAAGTTTGATGGTTTAGAAATAGCTGTTAAAGGTGTAAGTGTAAATGCAGAAGAAGAAGAAGAAGGAGAAGAGGGGGGTGGTTGTGATATTAAAGTTGATGTCGATACTGGTTCGGTAATTTTACTCATATTCACTGAAGCGAGTTGTGTTATTACTGATGGATTGGTTAAAAATAATTCCATTGATTGTGCGTAGTTATAATTTTCAGAGATTTGTTTATAATGAGCTGTCATTTGTGCAAATAATTCCATAGGTGTTACTGATGTACCACATATATTAAAATTATGTATAGGTGATGACATATTTGATGTATTTGAAGCGGTCAAACGTTGTTCAGATTTTCTCCATTCATCTGATATATGTAATTCTTTGGGTAAAAATAAACGGCTAGCAGATACATTATCTTCAACTGTACAATTAGATGATAAAAATGCATTAGCTGTCATAATATTTTTATATCTAAAACAAAGAAAAACATGGTCAAGTAATTTTAGAATAATTAACAACGTTCAAGACATTATTTGCTTAATGTTGTGTTAATTCCATACTAGAAGCATACTAAACAAAGAATACAATATGACAAAACATATTTTATCAGATTATATGTGACTACTGACAAGTGAGAAAATGTCCTCCACTTATAACGTACTCATAGAAGAGTATCTTTGAGTAAATTTTTTTACAAGCTGCTTGAAATAACAAGCAGTTTGTTCATTACTTACATATCAAAGTGTAATTCACCTCTATATAATGGGTCGGAGTTTAAATTTCAATCCACCTAATTAACTTTGAACAGCTTGTTAGATACACTAATCTTGACATAAGAATTAATAAACTGGGTTTCGTTACACTTTAGATGAATATCATATTAATGTAAGACTTAAGATTTCCATATAAAATTGATATTGAAAATTAACTCATTTGATAGCTATTCGTCATGGTGTCGAGATGCTAAAAACTGAAATGTCATACTAGATAAAAACTGTCCATTTTTGAGTGTTAGTTTGGATGAAATTTAGTGTTGAAATAATAAATAAAAAAGTGTATAAATGAATACGTGAACAAATAAGTAGTAACTATATTTCCTTGAAAAAGCTTGGACCAGATTGCCAGGCGAAACGTTGGATTTACTTCGAATTCTTTCGCTGAGATTTTACAAATAAATTCTTCCACTATATGAAACAGTTTGTAATCTGTTGAGCTTTGATTGAAGGATTTATTTCATAGTTACTCGTAAAATTCTTTCATCATATGATAGATTTTCTTACCATTTGTCATGTTTTGAGGATTCTGATAGAAATTCTGATATACATACATTAAAGACAGTCAGCACACGAAAGTGTAGATGATTTACGAGCTTATATTGTTTACTTATATATTGTGACCACATTGACATAATATAGCAGATTGGTCGCTTGAGAGAAATTAACTAAGAAATATTGGTTCTAAAGCTTTTGAAATATTGAAGTGTCGTTCCAAGTGTTTTAAGAATAACAGCAGTATATTCTTCAGTGTAAGGATATGTTCACAAATATTCAATCCATGCATTTGATCATACTGATACCTCTTCCATGGGGTGATTTCGGTAGGTTTCACAGGTCTTTGAAGTGGGTCCCCCAACTCTAGCTGAAGTTCAAAAGGCTATAGTTAATCTGAAACGAGGAAGGGCAGCTGGTCCAGATGGCTTGGTTCCAAAGGTCTTTAAGGATGGTGGTCCAATTTTAGCGATTAGGTTGACTAATATTTTAACTAAGATCTGGGAGTTAGACGTTATTCCATCTGACTGGTCACAATCACTTATCGTCCCAATGTATAAGAAAGGGTCAAAATCATCCTGTGACAACCATAGAGGGATTAGTTTAACTAATGTAATATCTAAAATACTAGCCTCGATAATTATCGGACGCCTAACTAATACTCGTGAACTGCAAACACGAGAGAATCAAGCTGGCTTCAGACCTGGTCGTGGCTGCATCGACCACATATTCACCATTCGTCAGGTTCTAGAACACAGGCATACTTATCGGCATCCGACAATGGTGGTCTTTCTTGACTTAAATCACTAACTCCTAGTCTGAGCCATGTTGGTAGATGCAGACTACTTGGTCGGGTTCCGCGTGACTATCGTAACTAATGGTTGGAAACTCTTGGTGGCATGGCCCAGAATCGATCACAATGGCGTAGGTGTATACACTCTCTGTATTCCATTAAACTATGAGATTAAAATCGCCCCATATCTTTCTTTCTACGAACCAATTCTTTCTTCCTGAATTATATCCTTATATGTAATCTTTCTTTTATATATTGCTACCATTGAATTAACTGCTTCTATGGATCTGGTGTTCATCTCGCTGTGCCAATGCGGTATGGCAACTTGGACCGATGCATATATGTGCCTGGTTCTACGTTGTAGGTGACTGACTGACTGATAAATCTTCCTGGCTTATCCTGGTTTATAAGGATGTAAGTTATATCGTCACTGAGTTTCTTCCTTGTGTCAATTACTTTCTACTCAGATTAGAAGCTTAATAAATATTCTGTTGTTGGTGTTGAGGACTGATACTGATTAGTCTTTTTTGGGTTACATACATCCTGAGAGGAATACCTCAATACTTATATCAATCACTATATGAACAATTAGTTGACGTTTAAACCAGAAGTTCCGGAATGACACATCAACACTGGAATCCTGATACATCCGGATGACGAGTCACAAATACGACAGAACACAAATTCTAGATCCCACTATTGACCACTCTATAATCCTATTGAAAAACCTATTCACAAACAAGTGTTAATAGAGAATATAATGTTAACAAATCATTTATACTACCGCTAATATTTTATCCTTATTATAACAGTATAAGATTACACTATTAGATCTAAATACAATAATAGACAATAAACATATATATATATAATTGTATTTACGGAGAAAATACAAAAACGAAATGACAAAGCATAGATAATAAGTAAGTACGAAGGCAGAGTATACAGAACAAACTATACAAAGAAGAGATAAGTGAATTTACTGAATTTGTTTTCTATTTCCGATTATTTTAAATCAGATGATTATTTTTTGTTGGTAAATTACATAAATATCTATTAGAAACATGCTAAGAAGTCTACATAATGAAATCAAGATGATACATGTAATATGTAATGATAAATAGAACATCATGTATCATAATGTCAGGCAGATGAATAATGATGATTGTAATAACAATAATAATAATAATAATAATAATAATAATAATAATATACTCATCCTATCATTTTCTATATTAATGTTAAGTAGTTTATTTATAAACAATAATGATATTTTATTTCCAATCTATGAAAATGTTGATAAACTTAACAAGATATATCCAATTGCTTATTAATAATTGGTAAACAGATCATTCATATTTGAGTAAGGATTCTTATTCTTATTATTATATGCCTTGAGGTATTTCATTTATTTGTTAAATGAAATTTTAAATATTACACAGTTAATCATATAAAAATAACTGTAATCTATTATTCTGTTTATTTGTTTATTTAATTTGAAAATTTGGTTGTGATGTTGATAATGAAATAGCTCAGACCATAATCATAATAACAATAATAGTAATAATAACAATCATAATGTTATATACATATTGAAACACATAGTCTAATCAAGTGTACATCTTTCACAACATTAATAGGTTGAGACTAGCAGTAGAATCCAGGTCGCTTGTTTCGTCTTATTTCGGACGACTCAACTGGATGTATCATCACCCATCTTAATGTTCACAGAGGGAGTAGAACAGCAATTTAAATCAAATTATTAAAAGTTAAATTCACACTCATTTAACAAGGTAGTAGCCTTCTGGAATCAGTAATTCAGTGGATAACGCACCAACCGTTTGATTCTCGCTGTGAACATTAATAATAGGGTGTTTATACATTCAGCTAACAAGTTTCAGGTAGGAAAAAACTAACGTTTTATTTTTACTACTAACCACTATCCATTTGTGAAAAAAAAACGAGTGAATAGTAAAAATTCGCACAGGATTCACTTATGTTAAAGTTCATTAGAAAATATTAACAGCAGATTAATTCAAACCATCACGAATTGAAGTCAGGTATATATTGTAAGGATTGCTATTGTTGTTTTTGTCTCTAACCTATACATTCTATAAGACTGACGGAAAATCACAAAGTATTTTATCTCTGAATGGTTCATGAGAGCATGCGTAAATCAACTGAAGTTTAAAACAAGAAACAATAGGTCCTGACTATATGAGTAGAATAAACTTTGATAAGAATTACTAAGTAATAAAGAGGTATAAGGTCTGATACATTAAGTGTGTTATCAGTGTTACCAATGAGTATCATGATTGAGGAGTTTCAAACAGCTGTTGAACACCCGATGGTTTTCAATAACTTAGTGTCAGTTTAAAATAAAAGCTATAATAATCAAACTACATAAATCTCTATAAAATGCTATATTGAAAAAAATCTAATAATTGAACTATATTTGAGTAGCAAACAGGATAAGATTTGATGTAAGTTGCTACATTCCATATTGGAACTATTTAGAGAAATAATTAGCTGAACGTTATTCAGGGGACTTAGTCTGAGAAGAAAAAAAATACAATAGAAGAATATATGCTCAATTACTATAACACTCAATTTATGGAGAGACAAATAATATCATATGGGCTGTGAGTATTTTCAAACTAGGTTATGATTTTGGTATGCAATGATCACCTTCAGTTAATCTGTATCATTAACCAAAATCAATTGATGACAGAACCTATTGCCAAACTGTACTACGTTCTACAACCAAATAACTACAAATTATTTGTTTTTCAATAATTAAACGTTATCTAATATAACTTTTAATGCAAATTATTTTACCAGTGTAATTATAAGCCCTGAAATGTAGATTTATTTACATTGTGAGAATAATTTAATAGACTAGATGAATAATATTATGTAAGTTTAGTTTCATGCACTTCAAACAACTACTTTGTAATTTAAAATCATGTACTATAACCAGTGAGTCACTTCTTTAAGGCGAATTGAGGATATCATTATAAATAATGTGTAAATGAGAATTCATTTTCAAGAAGTACATGTTTTCGAATGATACTATTAGTCGTATGGACTAGTACAAATGCATATCGGATTATATTGGTACACTTTATATAGGCACAATAAAAAGAAACTAGTGAAATTTATGGAGAGTTGTGTTTATTGTGTTTCTGATAACGAAAATACTAAACGCAGAAAATACAAATTTCGAAAGCAAGTAATAAAAAAGATAAATTAGTTGTTACATATTAAAGTGTATAATTTAAAAATTGAAGGAAAAATTCACTTGATTTACTTTTCCCAGAATCATATCATGCTACCTAATTTGTTCAGTTATTAATGAGATTAATTGTGTTATTAGTTGAACACAGTGGTACAAGGGGGAACCAAATACA